TAGCAGGGAACCAATTTCCAAGATTTGAAAGTGACATTTCTTCTAAATTACTCTCACAGACACAGACATCAAATGTAGAATCTATGGAGTTGACTCCTGGGCCACAGTTGCCAAGTATTGTTAGTACCAGAGCCACTGTTTCAAGGTGTAAAACACATAGCAGGGAACCAATTTCCAAGCTTTGAAAGTGACATTTCTTCTAAATTACTCTCACAGACACAGACATCAAATGTAGAATCTATGGAGTTGACTCCTGGGCCACAGTTGCCAAGTATAAACCATTCTGATTTAACCAGAAGACTACAGTTTCAAGGTATGGAATCTTCTGAATTCATCCAAGGACCACAGCTGCAAGATATAAAACCTGTGGAGTGGACCCCAGTCTCAAAGCTTCAAGGTTTAAAACCTGAGAAGCTGACCCCAGAGCCACAGCTAGAAGATATGAAATCTATGGAGTTAACCCCAGGACCACATTTGAGAGGTATGAAATCTATGCAGCTAACATCAAAGCCAGAGGTGGAAGATGTCAAATCTATAGTGTTAACCGCAGAGCCACAGGAAGGAGGTCTGAAGCCAGGGGAGCTGACCCCAGGCTCAAAGATTCAAGATTTAAAATCTGAGTTTGAGAGGTATGAAATCTATGCAGCTAACATCAAAGCCAGAGGTGGAAGATGTCAAATCTATGGTGTTAACCGCAGAGCCACAGGAAAGAGGTCTGAAGCCAGGGGAGCTGACCCCAGGCTCAAAGATTCAAGATTTAAAATCTGAGCTGCTGACCTCAGGATCACAGTTGGAAGATATGAAATCTGTGGCCTTAACTCCAGAGCCATGTCTGGAAGGTATAAAATCTATGAAGATAACCCCAAGTCCACGGCTGGAAGGTGTGAAATCTGTGACAAAAACCTTGGGGTCACAGATAAAAGATGTCAGATCTGTGGAATTCACTCCTGATTCCAAGCTTCACGGTGAGAAATCTGTGGAATTGACTCCAGGTTCAAGAATTCAAGATTTAAAAACTGTGAAATTGGTCCCAGACACAAAGCTGCAAGACTTAAAAGTTGTGGAATTGACACTTGGGCCAAAGATGCAAGGTGTTAAATCTATGAAGGTGCTTCAAGGGCCTCAGCTACAAGGTGTGAAATCTGAGAAGTTGACTTCAGAGCTACAAATGCAAGATATGAAATTTGTGGAGATTACCCCATGTTTAAAGCTTCAAAGTTTAAAATCTGTAGAGGAGACTGCAGATCCACATCTGCAATGTATAAAATCTGTGAAGTTGACCCAAAGGCTAAAGAAACAGGTAGTTAAATCTGTGAATGTAACCAGAAAGCAAGAGTTTCAAGGAGTGAAATCTGTGGATTTAGCCACAAAGCAACAGTTGAGAGGGATGGCACCTGTGGATTTAACTCCTAGGCCTGAACAGGACGGTCAGATATCTGTAAACTCGCCAGAGCAGCATTGTGTGAATTTAGAGCAACTGAAGAGAGGGTATGAGTCAGAAGGTGTAATGTCTTTGAAGTTAATTCCAGAGCCAAAATCTGAAGGTGAAAAATCTGTAGACCTCAACTCTGAGCTACAGTTGAAATGTACAAAATCATCTGAACTGACTCCAGAACCAGATTTTCAAGAAGTAAAAGATAAAGAGTTCAAACATGAACCAGACTTTCAAAGTATGAAATTTCCTAAGTTCACCTCAGAACCGCAGTTATACCAAGTGAAATCCTTGGAGTCAACCTTAGAGCCACAGCTTCCATGTGTGAAAACTGTGGAGTTAAACAAAGAGCCTGAGCTTGGAAGTATGAGATGTGTTCAGTGGATACCAGGACATGAGACACAAAGTGTAAAATCTCTAGGGTTAAATCTTAGTTCACAATCTCGAAGTGTCAAACCTGCAGAGTCAAAACTTTCCACAGGGTTGGGAGGTCTGAAGTCATCTGAATTGGCTCTAGGGCCAAAATCTCAAGGTGAAAAATCTATGGAGTTCAACCTTGGGCCACAGTTGCAGTTTGTGAAGACCCCTGAGTTGTCTCAGTTGTCTCCAGGACCACAGCTGCAAAAGGGGAAAATTTTGGTGTCAACCTCAGAGCCACAGCTTCAAGGTATGAAAACTGTGGAGTTAAATCACGAAGCCAAACTTGGAAGTATGAGATGTGTTCAGTGGATTCCAGGACCTGAGTTCCAAGGTGTGAAATCTGTAGGGTTAAATCTTAGGTCACAATCTCAAGGTATCACACCTGCAGAGTCAAAACTTCCCATACAGTTGGGAGGTGTGAAGTCATTTAAGTTGACTTCAAGGCCAAAGCTCCAAGGTATACAACCTTTGGCATCACTCCTGGAACATCAACCTCAAGGGTTCAAACTTATTGATTTGAAACCTGGGCTGTTGAGAAGTATGAAATCATGTGACCCGAATTCCAGGTTAAAGCTCTGTGATATAAACTCTATGACATTCAAACCTGAACTTCATTTGCAAGATGTGAAATCTTCTGAGTTGACCCGAGGACAACAGCTGCAAGAAGTAAAACCCTTAGAGTCACCCCCAGGAATACAGCTTCAAGGTGTGAAGTCTCTAGTGTTTACACAAGAGCCACAGCTTCCAGTGGTGAAATCTGGAGTATTAAACCAAGGGCTACAATTTAAAAGTGATAAAAATGTAGAGCTGAATTTCCTACTACACTTGAAAAGTATTAAATCATCTGAGTTGGCTCTTCAAACAAAGCTTCAAGATGTGAAATCTGAGTTCAACTCTGGGCCACAGTGGCAAAGTGTAAAATCTTCTAAGTTAACACCTGAGACAAAGTCCCAAGATATGAAATGTATTGAGTTAAACCCCAGTTCACAGTTGAAAGGTATACCATTTTCTGATTTGATTATGGGGACCAAGACTCAAGGCACTGAATCTACACATTTCAAACCTGGGCCTCAGTTGCACGCTGTGAAGTCTTCTGAGTCAATACTAAGGACAAAGCTTCAAGAAGTAAAAGTGGTGGGATTCAGCTCAGGCCCACAATTGCAAGATGTGAAATCTTCTAGGTTGATTACAGGTATAAAGCTTCAAGATGTAAAATCTACGGGTTTCAGTTCTGGACTGCACTTAAAGGGTGTCAGATCTTCTGAAGTGATCCCACGGGAAAAACTTGATGGTGTAAAATCTGAAGAATTCAAACCTAGTCCAAAGTTACAAGGTGAGAAATCTTCTGATTTGACCCTGGGAAGGAAGTTTCCAGGTGTAAAATTTATAGAGCTGGACTCAGGCCCACAACTACAAGACAAAAAATCTCCTGAGCTGATCATGGGTATAAAGCTTCAAGATGTAAAATCTATGGAGTTAAGTTGTGAACCACACTTTCAAGGTATAAAATCTTCTGAGGTGATCCCAGGGACAAAGGTTCAAGGTATGAAATCAGTGGAATTCAACTGTGGACCACAGAAACAAAGTAGAAAATGTGAATTGATTCAAGGGAGAAAGATTCAAGATATGAAATCTGTGGAGTTCAACCATGGTCCAAAGTTACAAGTTATGACATCTTCTGAGTTAATACCAGAGACAAACCTTCAAGGAGGGGAACCTATGGGTTTCAACTCAGGCCCACAGTTTCAAGATGTGAAATATTCTAAGTTGATCCTGGGGACAAAGCTTCAAGATGTAAAATCTATGGAGTTCAGTTCTGGACCACACTTGCAGAATATGAAACCTTCTGAAGTGATCCCAAGGACAAAGCTTCCAAAAGTAAAATCCGTGGGATTCATGCCTGGGCCAATGTGGCAAGACACGAAATCTTCTGAATTGACTCTAGGTACAAAGGTACAAGATAGTATATCTTTGGGGTTCAATTCAGCACGGCAGTTACAAGATAGGAAATTATCTTTGTTGACACCAGGGATACACCTTCAAGGTGTGAAATCTACAAAATTAAACTCTGGGGAAAAGCTGCAAGGTGTGAAGTCTGAGTCAGTAAAGCTTCAAACGATGAACTCTACAGCGGTCAACCATGGCCCAGAATTGCAGGTTGGAAAACTCTCTGAGTTGACCTTGAAATCAAAGATCCACAGTGTGGTACTTTCTAAGTTCAGTGCTGGAAAACAGCAGCAAGTTGAGAAATCTCATGCATTGAATCCATGGCCAGAGCTTCAAAGTGTAAAATTTATGATGTTCAATCCTAGGCCACATTTGCAACATGTAAAATCTTCGGAATTGTGCAGAGGAACACAGCTTCAAGATGTGAAATCTATGAAATTCAATTCTGAGGAACAGTTTCAAGATGTGAAATCTTCTGAGTTGCACCTGGCAACAAGGCTTCAAGGTATGCAGTCTTTAGAGTTCGACCCTGGGCCACAGTTGCAAGGGATAAAATCTTCTGAGTTGTGCACAGAGACAAAACTTCCAGATGAGCAATCTCTGGGATTCAAGCATGAGCCTAAATCACAAGGTTGGAAGTCCTCTGAACTAAATCCAGGGCCACAGATTCAGTGTAAAAATTTTATGGCATTCAACAATGGACAACAGTTGCAAGGTGTAAATTGTTCTGAACTGAATCCTGGGCCAGAGCTTCAAGGTATAAAATCTAAGGTGTTTTGCCTTGGACCACATTTGCAAGGTGTGAATTCTTCTCCATCCATTCCAGGGCCAGAACTTCAGTGTGTAAATTCTACTGGGTGCAACTCTGGGCCACATTCTCAAGGTGTGAGTTCTTCTGCATCCATTCCAGGGCCAGAACTTCAGTGTGTAAATTCTACTGGGTGCAATCCTGGGCCGCATTCTCAAGGTGTGAGTTCTTCTGCATCCATTCCAGGGCCAGAACTTCAGTGTGTAAATTCTACTGGGTGCAACCCTGGGCTGCATTCTCAAGGTGTGAATTCTTCTACATCCATTCCAGGGCCAGAACTCCAGTGTGTAAATTCTATTGGGTGCAACCATGGGCCACATTCTCAAGGTGTGAGTTCTTCTGCATCCATTCCAGGGCCGGAACTTCAGTGTGTAAATTCTATTGGGTGCAACCATGGGCCACATTCTCAAGGTGTGAGTTCTTCTGCATCCATTCCAGGGCCAGAACTTCAGTGTGTAAATTCTACTGGGTGCAACCCTGGGCTGTGTTCTCAAGGCACAAATTCTTCTACATCCATTCCAGAGCCAAAACATCAGTGTGCAAACTCTACTGGGTGCAACCCTGGACTGCATTCACAAGGTGTGAAATCTTCTGAATTAACTCCAGTTTCAAAACTTCAAGGTATAAAGTCTTCTGAGTTGAATCCAGAGTCAAAAATTCAATGCATAAAGTCTATAAAGTTTAATCCAGGGCCACAGATGCAAGGCATGAAACCCTCTGAATTGAATCCTGGATCAGAATTTCAAGGTACAAAATCTATTTTGTTAAATCCTGAACCACACTTGCAAGGTGCGAAATCTTCTGAGTTAACTCCAGGGACAAAGCTTCAAGGAGTCCAATTTTTGCACTCACAGCAGCAAGTTGTGCAACCTATGTTCACTTTAGGTCCTCAGTTAAATGGTATGAAATCTATGTTATTTTTACCAGAGCCACTGCTTAAAAATATAAAGTCTGTGGAGATGAACAGACAGCCATTGCGTTGTAGTGAAAATTCTGTGAAATCAATTTTGGGCTCTGAGCTGCAGGACTTAAAATGTGAGGTGTTTACACTAGAGCCATGTTTTCAAAAAGTAAAATCTGTGGCATTAAATCCAGAGCCACATCCTCAAAGTATGAAATCTAAGGAGTTTCCCTCACACCTCATGCAGAATAGTGTGGGATCTATGGTATTTGTGTCAGAGAAATGTTCTCAAGATAGTAAATCTGTGAAGTCAAACCTATGGTCACAACCTCAAAGTGTGGATTCTCTAGGGTTGACATCATGCCTCATGTCACAATGTGTTAAATCTGCAGTCTTTTCACCAGAGTCATGCTTTCAAGACATAAAACCTTCACAGTTAACACTAGGTTCCCAAGAGCAAGGTATGAGTTGCCAAGAGTTGACTTCAGGATGGCAAGGTGTGAAATCATTGGTGTTAGCACCAGAGCCAACCGGGCAGTTCCTACCAGGACCAATGTTGACTAGTGTGAAATTTTCAAGTTTGTCTCCAGAATCACAGCATCAAGGTGTGAAATTTTTGAAGTTTACTCCAGAGCCAAAGTTGCAAAGTATAAAACATGTGAGATTGTCTTCAGTGCCTCAGCAGCAAACTGCAAAATCTGTGGAGTTAGCACCGGGGTCACTGCTTCAAAGAGTGAAATGTGGGGAGCTAACTCCACTAACAAATTATCAAATCACAGAATCATCTGAAATAACCCCTAGACCAGGGCATCAGTTTGTAAAATATGCAGAGGTGATCCCAAAGCCAAGGCATTACATCCCTAAATCTGCGAATTTGATTTCAATACCAATTTATCAAGGCAAAGAGTCTTCAGAAATGGCACAAGGGTTGGCACATAAAAGTACAGAAACTGTAGAGAAATCCGTGGGGTTGATCCCAAAGCCAACAGATGAAGCCATGGAATCTTCAGGGATGTCTCTGCAGCTAGATTTTCAGGTGCCAAAATTTGTTGATCTGACTCCAGTGCTAAAGGATCAAGGCTCAAAATCCTTAGAATTAACCCCAGAGGAAAGCTACCAAATACCAGAAACTCTAGAGTTGCTATCTCAGTCGTGGCCTAAAGATAAGGATTTGGGGGAGTTATATACAAAGCCACTAAAGCAAGTTATGCACTCTGAAGGGATGAACCCAGAGCTCACGCATCACATTATAGAAGCTATGGAGTTGACCTCTGAGGCAAGGCTGCAAAGGAAGGAATTCCTTGGAATGACCCCAAAGCCAATAAATAAGGCCACCGGATATGCAGAGAGATCTCCAAGGCCCTGTCCTCAAGACTTAGAACCTGTGGAGGTTATCTCCAAGAAAAGACCGCAAATGGAAAAATCTATAGTATTGACTCCAAAGTCATTATATCACGTCCCACATTCTTCTTCACAGGTGAAACCAGAGCTAGGACATCAAGTTCCTGAATCTGTAGGTTTGACCTCTAAGCAATGGTTGCAAATGGAGGAATCTTTAGAGTTGTCCCTAAAGCGAACAAGTCAAGTTGTGGGACATGCAGAATCTGTAGAGCTCAACTCTAAGACATGGCAGCAAGGGGAGGTACCAATGGGGCTAACACAGTTACAGAATCAAAGTATGAAACACTCAGGGATAGCCCCAGGACCGCTGGGTCACATTACAGAATTTATAAGGATTAGCCCAAAGCCACTAGATCAAGTCACAGAATCTGCAAAGACACAAATTCAAGTTGTTCAATCAGTAGGGGTAATCCAAGACTCTCCCCCCAAAGTTGTTGAATCTGTGAAAGTGACAACACCAGGGCCAACCCCTCAAATGGGAGAATATGTTGAGTTGACTTCAAAACTGCAAGATGTGAAACCTTCAGAGTTTACTTCAAGGCTATGGATGCAAAATGTGAAATCTGAGAAATTAATCACAGAGCCAACACACCAAATTTTGGAAACAATGGAGTTGACTGGGTTTCAAGTTGTAAAGACTGTGTTAATCCCAGGGCCACTGCTTCAAATAGTAAAATCTGAAGAATTAGCACCAGGACCTACTCCTCAGGTTGTAGAACCAATAGGAGTAACCATAGGATCAGAGATTAAAGTAATGGATTGTTTGGATTTACTCCGAAGGCCACATCTTCAAGAACTAGTAGAACCTTCAGAATTAAGTCCAAGGCCAAATATTCAAGTGAAATCTGTAGAATTAACATCACAGCAACCGAATGCATTTGAGGAACCTACAGTACTGACACATGAACAAGGGCTTCAAGCTGTGAAATCTATACAGACAAAAACAGAGCCTCCTAAAGTCATGGAATCTGAGGGTGTGAATCTAGGACAGGTATGTCAGAATAGGAAATCTGAGGAGTTAACATCAGGAGAAGAGTTACAAGTAGAGAATTATTTCTCTAGGTTCCTACACAGTTCTTTGACCCCACTCATTTCAAGTTCTGTTACAACAACATCTGGATTAGGAGGCCCTTGGGATTCTGGGATGCCAGAAGTATCAAGAGCTTTGGATATAAAAACCCTTGGGAAAGATATTTTTCAGCCTGAAGAGCCCTACATAGACCCTGCTATACAGTCTTCAACCCTTCCCTTGGCCCTTCATAATCAACTCCCTGATGAGTCAGCTAAGACAGTGGAAACCCAACATCCTAAGACCTCAGGAGTGGATGTCATATCTAAGGAAAGAACTAAGAGGAAGCAGATGGAGGAGCTAGAGAATTCACTCCAGAGCCTCTCCCAACATTCACAGCAAAGCTGGAAGTCACCATCTATCACCTTCCAGGCAGAACCAGGGTCTCAAAGAGGCCTTATCTGGTCTTTCCTGGGCAGACAACAGAACGTCTGGGAGAGTCATGCCTTGCGACAACGACTACCTAGAAAATATCTCTCCAGTATGCTAATGCTGGGGAATGTCTTGGGGACCACTATGGAAAAAAAACTTTGTTCTCAAATATCTTTAGCGGAAAGAACCACTGCAGATACCTGTCAATCTATTCAGAATTTATTTGGGGTTCCAGCTGAACTGATGGAATTTTCCCAGAGCCTTCTAGAGAAGGGTCCAGGTACTATTTCTCAGCAGTCAGTGGTCAAAAACTACATTCAGAGACATACTTTATGCCATGGTCACGAGAAAAGACCAACCTTAAGAATATGGACACGTGGTTCCACATCTTCCATAATACAGCAATACTCTGGGACGAGAGGGGGAATAAAGAAAACAAACTCAAGGCTCAGTAATATATCCCAGGAAGACATTCAGCATAGGCCTGTCTCATGTGCAGGGATCCAGTTTCCTGCCCCTGTAAAGTCAGAGTCTTCCCTCAGGATATTTTACAAAAGAGAAGATCCTGTTTCAGTGGAAAAGAGTGAGAACTCACAGAGTGATTCACAGACTGGGATTTTCAAGTCCCAACACTCTCTCAAGCCAAGTTATCTTTCCCAGGCCAAGACTGACTTAGAACAGTTCCAGCTGCTACAAGATCTGCAGTTAAAAATAGCAACAAAACTCTTAAAGAGTCAAATACCCCCCAATGTGCCTCCACCTCTAACTTCAGGTCTGGTCCTAAAATATCCTATCTGTCTACAGTGTGGCCGATGTTCAGGATTTAATTGCTGTCATAAATTACAAGCCACTTTTGGGCCTTATCTTCTTATCTATCCACAGCTCCACCCTGTAAGCACTCCTGAAGGCCATGGCGAGGTTCGGTTGCATCTTGGCTTCAGGTTGCAAACTGGGAAAAGACCCCAAGTCTCCAAGTATCGTGGAAGAGACAGACCCATCATACCAAGGAGCCCTATATCACTATCACAAAGGAGAGCTAAAATCTATACTCGAGCTTCCAGTAGTCCTAATCCCACAGTAGATTTCCAATCTGGATCTTCTCAGTCCACTGCTCCTGTACAAGTCCACATCAGGCGAAGACAACGTGGCAGCCCTGACCCAGTAGGAAAGACAGAAATTGGAGAGCCTGAGCACTATGAATTCACTCAAGTTCACTCTCTACCAGAGAGTGACTCTGAAAGCAATCAGAATAAAAAATGGGATAAAGTGAGAACCAAAAAGAGCCCTGATTCAAAATATACAACGAAAAGAATCACCAAAGGACTTAGAGCACAAAACACAAAGTTCTCCACAAACAGTAGGAGCACAATAGAGAGTCCCTCTAGGGAATTACCAGACCATTTCAGAAGGAAGAGGATTGGAGCAGCTCAGACAAGTACTGCCTCTTTAAAAAGACAGCCTAAGAAAACCTCCCAACCCAAGTTCATGCAACTGCTTTTTCAGGGCCTAAAGCATGCATTCCGAACAGTACACAGAGCTATAGGTCCTGTTGGGCAGAAGCCTGAGGACAGGACAAGGCCAGACAATTTGTGGTCAAGCAAAAACTACCATCCAAAACAAAAAGCCAGGGACTGTTACTTACCAAGAGATAGTAAAAGAGACGGGATGCTAGTTGTCAAGCTAAGGCCAAAAGGCCCAACCACTAAGAAGGAGGGCATATTATGGGGAGAAACAGACCAATGCAGATCAGCTCGACAGACAAAAAGAGATAGTACTTTCCAACCAAGACCTCTCCAACTGCCCAAGCCTGAAGTTTCCCAAAGAGATATCGATGTCCAAATTAGCTCAACCAAGCAGTCTTTTGGTACTATTCAAAATGACAGTAGCAGCAGAGCAAAGAAAAACTATGCAAAGGAAATTTCCAGCCAGGAGCCTAAGAAGTTGCTCAAACCAGGAACCAGAGTTCAGGCCCAAGGGAGAATCTTACCTGGTTACCCTCTAAAGAGAACCTTGCTCAGTCACCTTAAAGAGAAACTCACACCCAAGGAGCAAAACAACCACAGCTTCTACAGGGAGAGAACCACATGTAATACTCACTCTAAGAGGAACCGACATAGTATCTCTGAGAGAAGCCATCACGGTCCCTCTGAGAGACGTCACAGTCCCTTGGAGAGGAGCCAACACAGTCCCTCTGAGAGGAGACATCACAGTCCCTCAGAGAGGGGTCAGTGCAGTCACTTGGAGAGGAGCCATGGAGCAAAACAACCACAGCTTCTACAGGGAGAGAACCACATGTAATACTCACTCTAAGAGGAGCCGACATAGTATCTCTGAGAGAAGCCATCACGGTCCCTCTGAGAGACGTCACAGTCCCTTGGAGAGGAGCCATCACATTCCTTTAGAGAGGAGCCGACACAGTCCCTCTGAGAGGAGACATCACAGTCCCTCAGAGAGGGGTCAGTGCAGTCACTTGGAGAGGAGCCATCGCAGTCCCTCTGAGAGGAGCCGACGCAGTCCCTCTGGGAGGAGATGCCACAGTCCTGTGGACAAGAGTCATCGTAGTCCCTCAGAGAGAGGGCGACACAGTCCCTCAGAGAAGAGCCATCGCAGTCTCTCTGAGAGAAGCCATCACAGTCCCATGGACAGGAGCTGTCGCAGTCCCTCTGAGAGGAGCCGACGCAGTCCCTCTGGGAGGAGATGCCACAGTCCTGTGGACAAGAGTCATCGTAGTCCCTCAGAGAGAGGGCGACACAGTCCCTCAGAGAAGAGCCATCGCAGTCTCTCTGAGAGAAGCCATCACAGTCCCATGGACAGGAGCTGTCGCAGTCCCTCTGAGAGAAGCCATCACAGTCCCATGGAGAGGAACTATCGTAGTCCCTCAAAGAGGGGCCGACGCAGTTCCTCAGAGTGGAGATGTTCTAGTCCCTCGAGGAGCCGTGGTGGTCCCACAGAGAGGAGAGGACACAGTTCCTCTGGGAGAACCCATTACAGTCCCTCTGAGAGGAGCCGGCACAGTCATTCTGAGAGGAGCCGACTCAGTCACTCTGAGAGAATCCATCACAGAACCCCTAAGGAGAGACTCAAGCACAGTTCCCTTAAGAGGCCCAGACATAGTTTGCCTAAGGATTTCCAGAGTTACTCAAACATGTCTCCTAGGGACCACACAAAAAAATCCAAAAGCAGGACAAGTTTGGAGTCCTGAAGCTAGTAAATGAGGCGACATCTGCCCTATTATTCATTGTCTCCCTCAAGTCTTCGCCTAGCTGTACTATCCTGCTCAGCCACTGGCCTCCAATTCCTGTCAGCTCAGCAATGAAAGGGCTTCTACGTCTCTCTACCTGGGGGGGGAGGGCAGACGAGAACCGGGCTGTAATTTCTCTAAGATCAATAAAGGGGCAATAATTGATCTCCACGTGTATCTAGAAAGGCCACTGGGTTGGGTGGAAGGGCACAAGGTATCATGCAACGAGATGGCACCAGAGGCAGGCGTTCTGAGAGGCCAGGTTAAGCCTCCAAGCCCCGCCCCTTCTCCCCAAGCCCCACCCACAGCTTCCCAAGCCCCAGGCCGCGGTCCCGGGCGGGGTCTCCGAGGACTCGGAGGGCGGCTTGCCACGTGACACCCTCCGGCCCGCAGCCCCCTCGGAAGCTGCTAGGCGGAAGTAGACGTTCGGGGGCTCGGCGGCGCCGAGTCCACATCCGGGAGAGGCGAGGAGAGCGGAAGTGGCGTTGGTCCGGCCGGAGCCCTTGGGTGGAAGTGTGAGGCGTGGAGAGGGAGTGATGTCTTCCAGACTCGGTGCAGTCCCCGCCGTGAGTTTCTGGGTTTGACCGTTGTGCTTTGGAGGTAGCGCCTCGAGCCCGGAGCACGCGGTGCCGCGCTTTTGTCCCGTGCTCAGAGTTGGTTTTCCCAGAGCCCGTCGTAGGCCCCACCCTTCTGGATCGGATCACCTGTCCCCTTTTTCTTCTCCCACTTTCCGCTGCCTGTTTCCCACCTCCTTGGTCTTGGTCCCTCGCCAGATTACCGTTAATTTCTCTTCCTTTGACGTGCCCAATGCCTCCCGTATCCGTTGTCTTCTCTTCTCGCCTCCCTTGTAGAGCCTTTCCCTGGGACACGGCTTTGAGAACGGGGGAAGATGAAGGCTCTGGTCTTGTCACCCGCCTTTACAGTGTAGGAAGATAGGACGGCACGCTTTTTCTAAAAAGTGTTGCCTTCTTCCGTTTGAGGTAGTTTCCCCGGAGAGCTTCATTTCTTCTGGGCACAGGGGGATTCGTTTTTTTGTGATCGAGGTTCAGAGGACCCTAGTACTCACTCATGTGCTTGTGGTTTGCTAGACTCCGGGACCCACATCCTTTAAGCAGCAGAGGAGCACGAGGATCGTGGGAGCTAAGAAGTAAGTGAGGTTTTCGGAGGTTCTCTTTATAATCGTGTCTCCAGCTCTGTCCAGTAGAATTTCCTGTGATGATGAAAATGCTCTGTATCCGCACTGGCCAGTGTCATAGCCACTAGCCACGTATTGCTTTTGATCACTCGAAATGTGGCTAGTGCGAGTGAGGAACTGAATTTTAAATCGTATTTTAATTTTAATGAATTTAAATTTAAGTAACCACCTGTAGCAAGTGGCTACTGGATTGGACAGTGCAGGGTGGGTCTAAACCTAGTATGGGGGAGAAAAACCTAGCTTGCAAAAAAAAAGTACAAATTATGATAATAAATGGAACGTATTACTCAGTGGTAGTTCTGCATTTCTCATACATCAAGTTTGCGCTCATAAATACGTTGATGAACTTGGGAAGGACGATAAGAATGGATGTAAGAAATCCTTGTATTTTCTTTTTTTCAATTTTATCACTCTTTTACTTTTTTTAAAAAATTTTTTATTTTGTCGATATACAATGTGGTTGATTATTGTGGCCCATCACCGAAACCCCCCTCCCTCCTCCCTCTCCCCCCTCCCACCCAACAATGTCCTTGCTGTATGCTTGTCGTGTCAACTTCAAGGAATTGTAATTGTTATGTCTTCTTCTCCCCCCCGGGGTTAGAAATCCTTGTATTTTCTTTTTTTCAATTTTATCCCTCTTTTCCTTTTTTTTAAAAATTTTTTATTTTGTCGATATACAACGTGGTTGATTATTGTGGCCCATCACCGAAACCCCCCTCCCATCCTTGTATTTTCTTTTTTTCAATTTTATCCCTCTTTTCCTTTTTTTTAAAAATTTTTTATTTTGTCGATATACAACGTGGTTGATTATTGTGGCCCATCACCGAAAGCCCCCTCCCTCCTCCCTCTCCCCCCTCCCACCCAACAATGTCCTTGCTGTATGCTTGTCGTGTCAACTTCAAGGAATTGTAATTGTTATGTCTTCTTCTCCCCCCCGGGTTTAGAAATCCTTGTATTTTCAAACTACTTTGCTGCAAGACTGGTTCATTTTGTATTCTGACTGTGCTCAGTTTTTCCATGGTTGATACAAAAGAAAAGATTCTTGTTAACTAGAAACTCTCATTAGATGGATTCATTCAGATATTTACTAAAAGTCTGCTATGTACTAGCTGTGCAGTGAGTTAGGTGTGCAGACATGAAAAACAGACCTGGCAGTCTAAAGCGAGAGATAGGCAAGTAGATCAATGCAATACAGTGTAATCAGTGAAATTTTTTTTCTTTGGCTGTCTGGTAAAAGGGATCTGAACCATTGACTTAGTAAATATTTTTAAATAGAAATTTAATATAGCTTTTGGGAAGGGAGAGTGATAGTTTAGAAGGAAAGTATTACCAGAGCAGGTCACTCCTAAATAGAGACCTGAAAGTCCAGAATACTGCAGTGAGCCATGAGGAGAGAGGATTGTTCGGAAGAGAGAATAGCATGTGAACAGATGAAAGAAATAATGGGATAGCAAGTGATTCTACATGACTGGCACAGAGGATGGGGAGATTGCAGGGAGATCATTTAGAGAGGTTAGGGGCCAGATCATGAAGGGCCTTTTATGGCAGGTTAAGGTGTTTGGATTTTACCCTGGAAGGGTTTTTAATGAGGGAATGACATAGCCAGAAATTGGTCTTAGAAAGGTCACTCTGGCAGCATTGTAAAGGATGGATTTGGAGGGATGCTGGAAACTGGTTCAGAGACTATTACAGTAACCTAAGAGAGAAATGAAGAATGCGTGGCCTATGGTGGTAACAGTATATAGGGAATTTACAGGTTGTGATGACTAGAAGTAAGTGGTGAGTTACAGGAAGGAGGATAGGATATCTATGGGTTTCTTGCTTTGGCAACCAGTTGGATGTTGGAGTCATTCACTGAGCTAGGAATTTCTGGATGAGGAGCAGCATTTGGAACAAACATAAATGGGTTTGAACCTCAGGTGAAGAGCTGGTCTGAAATATACAATTGGGAATCATCAACTATAAGAATTGGAAACATGATGTTTTCCTTTACAAGACGAGGGCATTCATGAGATCTTTTTAGGGAAAGTGGTTAAAACAATGTTTTTCAACGTGTACCTTGGTCAGCTAGGGATAATTGTTAAAAGATATAAAGATTAATGGGCCCCCATCCATTAATCAGAGTATTGGGGTTAGCATATAGGAATCTTTATTTTTATTTTTTATTTTTTGTTCTTTTTTAGACGGGCCGCACCATTAATCAGAGTATTGGGGTTAGCATATAGGAATCTTTATTTTTATTTTTTATTTTTTGTCCTTTTTTAGACGGGCCGCACGCACTCAGCCAGTGAGCGCTGTGAGCGCACTGGTCATCCCTATATAGGATCCGAACCCGCGGCGGGAGCGCTTTTGCGCTCCCAGCGCCGCACTCTCTCGAGTGCGCCACGGGCTCGGCCCAGGAGTCTTTATTTTTAACTAGCTTCCTAGGAGATTGTGAAGTTTGAGAATCAATGGTGAGAAGTGAGACTAGAAAAGAGTAGAGGATGAAACCGTGAATTAGGTAGAATTAAAGAAGTCTGCAAAGGATACTGAAATGAACTAAAATACTTTTCTAGTGAAAGATATGTGTAGGTCTGTTTTGGACTCTCGTTATTCTGCTCCTTTGATGTTTAGAGTAGGTCTTGAAATTGGTAGGATAAGTTCTCTAACTTTGGTGTTCTTTTTCAAAATTGTTTCAGCTATACTAGGTTCTTTGCATTTTAGAATCGGGTCGCTAACATCTATAAAAAGAAGCATGGTGAATATTGATTGGTATTATATCAAGTCTATAGATCTTTTGGGGGAGAATTGCCATTTCAACAATACTGAGTTTTCTGATTTATGAATATGCTATATTTTTCCATTTATTTAGGTCATCTTAATTTCTCTCAGCAATGTGTTATAATTTTCATTGTAAAAGTATTGGATATCTTTTGTTAGATTTGTTCATACGCATTTTATGTTATTTTCATGTTATTGTAAATTGTATTATTTTTATAATGTCATTTTCTAGTTACTCCTTGCTAGTATATAAGAATACTGTTGACTTTTATATGTTAAACTAATGTCCTGCCATTTGCTAAATTCCTTTACTAGTAGTTCTAGTAATTGTTTTGTAGATTTCCTGGGATTTTCTTTGTAAAGAATCATATAGCCTGCAAGTAGGTGCAGTTTTAGTTTTTTCCTTTTGGTCTTTTTTCTTTCTTTTTCTTTTTTTAAAACTTATTGCAATGGCATTCAACAGTGTAATGAACTGGGCCTGGCATTTTCTTTTTGGGAAGGATTTGATAAATTAAATTTCTTTAATAGATATAGAGCTATTCATATTTCCAGTTTCTTCTTGTGTCAGTTTTGGTACGTTCTGTTTTTTAAGAAATTTGTTCATCTTGTCAATTTTCTGTCATAAAGTTATTGAAAGTATTCTCTTATTAGTTTAATGTCTGTATACTCTGTGATAATAACCCCTCTTTCATTTCTGATATTGGTTATTTGTGATATCTTTTTTTCTTGGATAGTGTAGCTATAGGGTTGTCAATTTTGTGATCATTTCAAAGAACCAGATTTTCTCTATTATCTGTTTTCTAATCATTCTAATCATGGATTTCTCCTCTTTCCTTCTTTGATTTACTTTGCTCTTCCTTTAAGGTATCTTAAGATGAAATTTCTCTCTCTCTCTCTCTCTCTCTCTCTCTCTCTGTCTCTGTCTCTCTCTTGCTCCGTCTCTCTTGATTTTAGATTTTCTTTTCTAATATAAGCATTTAGAGCTTTAAGTTTCCTTCTAAGTACTGCTTTAGTTGCATCCCACAAACTTGATATGTGTATTTTTGTTGTTGTTCAGTTCAAAGTATTTTTAAATTTCCCTTGTGATTTCTTTCTTTTTGTTTTTTGGTGGCTGGCCAGTATAGGGATCTCAACCTTTGACCTTGATGTGATTTCATTTTTTTTTTTTTT